CGCCCATGGATGCAATCTCACCGGTAAAGGGAGTAAGCACCGAGAATGGGTAGGTGACATGGTTCACCATGTAAGGATCTAATATCGCGGCCGCCTTCATGTATCAATCGCCATGGCCAATGGTGAAACCTATTAGGAATCGGTAACACCAATGGTGACTCGACGGATAACCAACGGGAAAGTCCACGGTGAGAACCGGTGGACAAAACGGATGTTGGACCCGCGAGCAAACCAAAGACCGACGGACGAATGATTTCATGGGCTAGCCTACGATGATCCGATGGATGAATCCACGGACCCTTGGGTGTGATAATGATATTTTTCGGATCGCATGGATGGATCGATAAGCCGAAGGCTTTACCGACCACCATGGACCGGATGGGTAAACGGTTAATAAACCGTGGTGGTTGTAGTGATAAACGACCGGATCGGAAACATGGATGGTTCGATAAGCCGAGGGCTTGATCGTCCACCATGACACCAAAGGGGCGTACGTATGGAGGACGGGTGGACCAATGAGCCAATAGCTCGATTCGGCCACCGTGAACCAAGGGAAACGTACGATCCCCAATCTCTATCGTAGGGACTTAGACCAGTGGGGTTGGTTGGATGTATGGCTAAGTAACGATAGAGATTGGTCCATCAATACACGATTGATTAAGAATCGTTGTACGAATGGAATAAGGCAATAAAAAGGGCTAAGGGAAGGATCAATGGACGGATCGAAGAGGAATCGAATCCGCATGTTGGCCAAGGTATGTAAACAAATCTAACTTATTAGTTAAGCTAGATGTTTAGGAATTTAGCCGTTGAAATTAGGATAACGGAATATGCAATCGTTAGACTTAGAATGGTTAGCGAACAAATTGCATGTCTTGACCGAATAAAGGTTTGATCTAAGTCTTGAGGACAAAGACGATAAATTCGGTACAAGGGTCGGTTGGAATTAAACCAAGGATAGAAAGACTTCCGATGTGTTAAAAGAAAGCGATTATAGAATTAAGCCTCGTAAAGGCAATTCTATGTTAAATCGCGAAAAATATAGAGGTTCGGCCGGGAGGAGACACGAACGTGCGTCAATGGTCGCCGGATGCCGAGACGTCCGGGACGGGACGCTACAAGTTGGTATCAGAGCATGCTTGATCCTAGGATGGATAAATGCTCAGGAAAATGTCATGGTAAATGACTGCTAAAGGTGTAACTTAAATGATTGAGTCCTCGGGAAACCGAATTATGAACTTGAACATTAGTGTTGGTGAGCCGGAAGGGAATTGAGGCAAGAACGCGATTACATGCTTGGAAACCAAAAGAGTTTGCCAAGATGAATTGGTTAAGCCAAGATGATTACCCAAGGGGCAAGAACTACACATGTAGTAAGTGAATAATTATTCGGAGAGAGGGGCTAATTATAAAAGTTGAAAAAGTTAAGCTAAGTGTTTGGCGGATAAGGAAGTTGAGGTGAATGAGATTGTTGTGCTTGAGGAAAGGTTACCCAAGGCATGATCGGGCGCCAAGATACGAGCCTTATAGTCAAACGACTTAACATAACGGGAAAAAAAGGTATTGATCTATTCGGAGAATGACCAAGATCATTAGAAATTAGATCTCGTCGGAATTTGACGAAGATCAGGAAAGACTTGATCTATTCGTTGAAAAGATCAAGGGGTATTGACCGAGTCCGGTGTGGACCAAGGTCGGGATAAGTGACCGAGTTTGGGAAGGACCAAGGTCGGGAATTATAGAGCGAGTCCGGTGGGGACAAAGGTCGGGAAAACTGACCAAGTCCGGAAAGGACCAAGGTCGGGAAAAGTGACCGAGTCCGGTGTGGACCAAGGTCGGGAAAAGTGACCGAGTCCGGTATGGACCAAGGTCGGGAAAAGTGATCGAGTCCGGAAAGGACCAAGGTCAGAAATTTGTTCTAGTCGGGATTAGACTAGGACGAGAAACATTTGATGGAGTCCGAGAAAGGACCAAGATCGGAAAAATAGATCAAGTCCGGGAAAGGACAAAGATCGGGAAAAAGGATCGAGTCCGAGAAAGGACCAAAATCGGGAAAAAGGATCGAGTCCAAGAAAGGACCAAGATCGGGAAAAATTTGATAGAGTCCAAGAAAGGACAAGGATCGGATAATTTGATCGAGTGTCGGAAAAGACCAAGATCGGGAAACTTGATCAAATTCGGAAATAGATATTTGATCAAGTGTGGTATCTAAATTCTAGGAAAGACTAAAGATGGGAAAACGTTAAGGAGTAATGGAACTATAACACCCGCCGAATTCGAGGACGAATTCAATTTAAGGGGGGTAGACTTGTAACGTCCGCGTCCCGCGATCCTAAAGGGGGCCAGTTTGTTTTAGGGAAAACTAGATCATGGTCGAGAAAGACTAATGAATAAGTTAACCTAAGAAACGAAAGAAACGTTTAAGTCATGACTTAGACGGTTTCGGGATAATCCTGTGATCATGGAGAAATGATCATGGAAAGATTGGGAATGGCGTAGTCAACGCCGAGAAAACGGACCGAAAGACTTAGCCGGAAAGAACGTGGAAGAACGTTCGAGCTAAACCAGCTAGGTGAGCTGGACAAGCTGGACAAACTAGCTAGCTCAGCTAGGTGAGCTAAACCAGCTGGAGGACTAGCTAGCTCAGCTAGGTGAGCTGACCGACAGCTCAACCGAGCTCGGTGAACTGATCGAGTACTGACCCAGCTGGGTGGTCCGGTCAGCTGACACTCGAGCTGGTGGACTGTGGTAGCTCGGGATGAAGAGGTGTAAGGTCGAGCTGTTACCGACAAACGGTTACCGTTGGCCAAAGTGTGGATAAGGCCAAATGGTTACGATCGGAGAGATGCAACCTTTCGGAAGGGTGCAACGAACGAATGTGATGTTTCGGAAACACACCCATTCGCCCGCTATATAAGGGAAGACGCCCAAGGCAATCAGAATCACCATCACAACCCAAAAGGGGTCCCAAAACACTCTACGAAGTGTTGGTCGGAAAGGGGGTGCGGCTCGGCGAGTATCTCCGGAATCGGAATGGATTCTCGGAGCCTCGACCGAACTGATGCGCATGCTACCTCCCGATCCAACGGTTCGATAGAATGTATTGAGGGATGGATGGGATGGACCGATCGTCTTAGAGACGGATCGGATGGGACAGACAGATCGTCGGACGGATCGGATCGGACAGACCGATCGTCGGACGGATCAGATCGAACAGACCGATCGTCGGACGGATCGGATCAGACAGACCGATCGTTGGACGGAAGGATCGGATCGGAGAAGAAGACGGATTCGGATAGACCGTCGCACAGACGGATCGACCGACCGGGATAGGCAGATCGATCGTCGTGTCAACAGGTCGGGTTGACGTATAACCGGATCTGTTTACGATCGAATAAACGGACCAAGGCTTAGATCGGCGGAATGATCGGTCGTATAGATCGGCGGGATGACCGACAATACGTATCGGAGATCTGGTCGAGGGAACATGGTGGATTATTCTATCGAGGATTCGATGAGAACCGCTGGAGGGTTCGATGACTTGATTGATGGTTTGGATCGATAACTCGATTATGGGGTCGATGGATCGTCCGTTCTATAAGTCATATCGTCGAGGGAAGGACACGAAAAGGAAATGGATCGACAAATCTAAGATTGTCAATATGGAAGTATTGACGAATCCAAAGATAGACCGATAGATGATATGGTTAACGGGAAGTTAATCGGGAAGGCGTATAAGGGAAAGGTGTTAGAAGAAGCACGGGGATAAGTGCAACCGAACACACCCAAGGGTCGCCCATGGATGCAATCTCACCGGTAAAGGGAGTAAGCACCGAGAATGGGTAGGTGACGTGGTTCACCATGTAAGGATCTAATATCGCGGCCGCCTTCATGTATCAATCGCCATGGCCAATGGTGAAACCTATTAGGAATCGGTAACACCAATGGTGACTCGACGGATAACCAACGGGAAAGTCCACGGTGAGAACCGGTGGACAAAACGGATGTTGGACCCGCGAGCAAACCAAAGGCCGACGAACGAATGATTGCATGGGCTAGCCTACGATGATCCGATGGATGAATCCACGGACCCTTGGGTGTGATAATGATATTGTTCGGATCGCATGGATGGATCGATAAGCCGAAGGCTTTACCGACCACCATAGACCGGATGGGTAAACGGTTAATAAACCGTGGCGGTTGTAGTGATAAACGACCGGATCGAAAACATGGATGGTTCGATAAGCCGAGGGCTTGATCGTCCACCATGACACCAAAGGGGCGTACGTATGGAGGACGGGTGGACCAATGAGCCAATAGCTCGATTCGGCCACCGTGAACCAAGGGAAACGTACGATCCCCAATCTCTATCGTAGGGACTTAGACCAGTGGGGTTGGTTGGATGTATGGCTAAGTAACGATAGAGATTGGTCCATCAATACACGATTGGTTAAGAATCGTTGTACGAATGGAATAAGGCAATAAAATGGGCTAAGGGAAGGATCAATGGACGGATCGAAATCATAAGTTGGAGTGATTCCAATCTTATATCATCTGGTATCAGAGCTTCAAAAGCTCCTATCTTTCAAGGTTGTATTTCTTCAACCTATATCTATTTCTATTTTCAGTTTTTGTTGTTTGCTTTTTATAAAATTCAAAATAAAAATAAAAATTTGTTTCTTGCTTTGTTCTTATTTATTTGCTTCAGTACCTTCATAATAAAAAAAAAAAAAAATTGATTGCTTTGTTTTACTATTTATTTCCGATTTATTAAAGAAAAAGCCATAAAAATCATAGTTTTGGTTATTTTTAATTATTTTTGAACTTTTCGTGTTATAAAATCAGAAAACAAAAATAAAAATTGCTTTTCCATTTTTCTTAATATAATTTTCGTATTTATTTGAAAAAAAAAAAAAAAAGGGTTTCAATATTCATTTACCATTTATTTGTTATTTCCTTATCTATTGGTTTCATATATTGCTTTTTGGCTAAGCGTTGAAGACGATTCTGAATTCTCTATTATTCTTCTTTTGCTAGGTTCTCACATAAACCAGAAACTATGGAGTATGAAGATGAGAGGAGTGAATACAACACTTCAGAAGTTGATTGGGGACAAGAATCTAACCCGTCATGGAGTGGAGAAGAAGATTACGACTATGGCTCTTGGGAAGGAGAAACTGATTCTGAAATCAGTCTAGAAGAAGTAGATGAACGTGATGAAGAGCCTTGGTATGAAGAGACGAATTCAGATGGTGCTTTCGAAGGAGAAGAAGGCCAAGTTGATGATGAAATCGAACCTGAACCACCAGACCACTCTCAAGACGACGAAAGCCACAAGAGTTGGTGCGGAGCAGAAACCAACCAAGAGGAAAGCGAAGGAGAAGGCTGTGAAGGAGATTCATGGCGTGGAGAAACTGAATCCCAATTCAGTTTAGAAGAAGACTTGCCGAATGGAGAAACTCAAATCAGTCACGGAGATGAGGGCTTCAATCACCATAGAGAACCAGACCAGTTCATAGAATCTTACACACAAGAAAGACCATGGTGTGAGATACCATACTCTGATCAAGAGGAAGATCGCCAAGAAGAAACTGATTCACAAATCAGTTTAAGGGAAGACGAGTCACATGGTGTAGAGACATGGAGTCATGAGGGTGAATCTAACTATGGTGATGAGTCAGATCGTGGGGAGGAAGAAACAGACCACACCAAAGATCAGCCCACACTATGGGGTGACGAAGAGGACTATGAGCCACAATATTTAACCTTTTCAGGTTATAGCCAAGGTACAGAAGATTACTTACGGTGGGAAGAGGACATGGAGGCGTGTTTTCAATCTTGCCAAGTACCAGAGGAGGAACAACTTTCATATGCCCTTGACACACTCACCGGACCAGCTTATGAGTGGTGGGAGCAAGAGGAGAATGCCCGTGTCAAGTACAATGAACCAGCTCATACATGGGGAAGTTTCAAGTTAGAAATCTATGAGGAGTTTGTGAAGGAAGCTGCAGCTCAACATCAACAGGATATGCCAAGTTATTCCTACACTAAGCCAAGGAGATGGATTCTCGCCACAACGCCAAGAGTGAAGGCTACACCTAAGAAAACCTGCAGCCCTAAGCCAAATAAAACGTTTTCACCTATTCTAGAGGAAAAAGGAGAGGCTAAGCTACCAACTCGAGTAAAGGCTGAACCACCAAAATCAATTTCCCAAGCTATAACCTACAAGTCGAGTACAAAGTCATTGCTTAAACTACAACGCACGGGAACACAAGGTAAGTCCACTAACCTTTCAAAATCAAAAGAGACAATTTGTTATAGGTGTCATAAGAGAGGACATTTTGCTGCTAATTGCCCAACTAGACAACTAGACAAGTTTCCATTACTAAAATCAAAATTAGATACTTGTCTTGTTCCATCAAGTATAGAGATTTCCAATTCTAGTATAATGCTCTTGTCTATGCCAAAGGTTGTTGATGCAGGTCAGACAAAGGAGCATGAGGCTGAAGACGTTGAAGGAGGCATAAGTATTGAGAAGCCACCGGCTGCTCAACAACCAATTCAAACCCGAGGTAACTACCTAGACTCCCAAAAACGAATGAAGCCTAACTTGCTTTCTCTCGGTGCAGGTGAATCAGTTTTGAGGTCAAAACTTTTTCAAGGGAGAGGGTATGATGCGGTCATCACACCAGAAACTGAACCAAAGCTCATTCAAATAGGATGCACTATGCGAATCAGACCCGAGAAGGACATACGTTCATTGTGTGAACCATATCAGCTCAACAACAAAGATTCAAGGCAGGAAACCACTTGGAAAATAGTCTCAGCTCATCTATACAACCCCTCGAAGAAGAATCAGCCCAAAAGGAGTTCCCACGAAGGAGTTATTCAATTTACAAATCGGATGATTCCCAGCTTACCCGATTTGGACATATACGGGTTCATTGGAGCTTTCCAACCAGACCAGAAGGATTTAAGCTATGAAGTAAATTTTCCTACAGTCTTGACTCATAAGAGGAGTTCTTCGAATTGGAATCAAGTCAAAACCAATTTTGGTTCAGAAGATATTAATTTTCTAAACCAGAAGATTCTCGGCTTGCCTTATTTGGAAGCTGACGGGTTTAGTCACTTGCAAACCAAACTTTGGCGTCCAGGAGAGTTTCTAATACAGCTAGAAGCTTCTAATATCACCTCAAGCTTCATTCTCAGCCATTGGATTAAGTGGATTTCATCTTGGCCATTCATACACCAAGACTTTCCATATCTAGACTCAATTGCCTTCCATGCACTCCAACAGCTAAATACATTTAAACCAAGGAAGACCACGACTTTTGGGAGATTCTACATGGACCAGAGGCTTCTCTTACATGGTTATATCAAGAAGATTTCGAGATATAAAGAGGAGAGAATAAGATTTCCTTATTTGGCCAAGCATTGACTTCTAACGGTCAAATATGTGTCAGGATCATTTCCTTTTTCTTTAGTCTTTTAATTTCGTGTATTTTGCTTCCTTTTTTAGTGTTTATGAACGTTATATGTGTCTAGAGTCGAGCCTATAAAGCTCAAGCCATTTGTACCATTTATGCTCACCCTTGATCATTGAAGTTTATAGAAAACAGTTTGTTCTTTTCACAAAGTTTTGAGTTTCTTTGTGTTGTTTATTTCTTTAGTTCTTATTGAGTGAGTCATAAGTTCTATTGAAACCTGCGGATTAAGCTTGTTGAGTGATTCAACATCCTTATTCGTCCATTGATTGAGTGAGTCAATCGCATCTATTCATCGTTCCACCCCTTGATTCACGAGAGAGTGCGTTATAGCCAGCTCGTGTATTCCACCTTCCGCAAGTTAAGCTTGGAATCTCTTGATCATCGAGTGATCATAAGTTGGAGTGATTCCAATCTTATATCAAATCGAATCGTTAAAAGAAATTGCATGTCTTGACCGAATTTAGTCGTTGAAATTAGGATAACGGAATATGCAATCGTTAGACTTAGAATGGTTAGCGAACAAATTGCATGTCTTGACCGAATAAAGGTTTGATCTAAGTCTTGAGGACAAAGATGATAAATTCGGTACAAGGGTCGGTTGGAATTAAACCAAGGATAGAAAGACTTCCGCTGTGTTAAAAGAAAGCGATTATAAAGGCAATTCTATGTTAAATCGCGAAAAATATAAAGGTTCGGCCGGGAGGAGGCACGAACGTGCGTCAATGGTCGCCGGATGCCGAGACGTCCGGGACGGGACGCTACAGATATCCCCTCTTGGAAGGATTGAGAGCAACCTCACGACTACTTGCCATGCTGTTTTGAAGAAAAGTGAGGATGAATCCATTGAAGTTGAGGACAGTAATGCTGATTTTGTGCTTGTAGAGGCAGTGTCGACCGACACCAGTTCAGATATCCGAGAAATCACACTGTGACAAAGTAGAATTGACCTACCTCGACACTGATTTACAGGATCCCTCGACACGCAATCTTAGTGTAGACCGACACCTGGGTGTGGATCGGCACTCCTCCGGTACAGAAGCAGAATCGACGTTTGACGAAGCAGAATCGAGTGAGCTCGAAACAGAGGAGTCGACGCTAGACAGTAGTGTCGACCGACACTCACCTAGTGTCGATCGACACTGGACATGGACTGCACCATATGCTCTTGTGTTTCCACTGCGACCTAAGAAGTCAGAGCAAGAAATACGGGAACAACACTATAGGTTGATGCTGGATTCAATTCTATATGCTTTACCTTTGATGATTGCTGTAACCTCCAAGATCCACTTCAAGAGTATGTCGAGAAGATGATTACTAATGGCATTAGAGCTGAGGATATTAGCTTGCTTACAAAAGACATCAGTGCTATCTTGGTGTATGAGGATCCAGAGAAGAAGCCGACCAAGAGGCTGTCAGTGGCTATCTCTGAATTAGTCAGTGCCATGATTCAGTGTAGCATCCTAGAGAAGTTACCTGATCTAGAAAGCTTTGTGCTAGATTTCTCCATATCCACAGACATTACTGCTGGGTATATCAAAGAGTTGGATTCTATTGAGCAAGTGAAGTTGCAAGCTTCTAAGCTTGAAGATTAGAGTGGTGATCATCTGTTCAGCACTAGGATCAAGGATGAAGCACACATCGGTGATAAATTGCTGCAGATTGTTGAACAACATTGCAGAAACAATGCAGAATTTTGAGCTGCAGGCTTAGTGTCGAGCGACACCACCATGGTGTCGGTCGACACCAGACTCGACGAGACGGACCATTGTCGGACGACACCACCACTAGTGTCGGTCAACACCACCTGTGTCGGTCGACACCCACGACGAGCAGAACCAGAATTGTCAAACAAAGCTGCTTTTCGAGCTGGAATAACTGCTATAAGTCCAGGAAATAGTGTCACGTCAACCACTGCACCTCTCCTACTCCATCCTCCTCCTAAACAGCTAAGGTACTCACGATCTCCACCTAAACCTCCTGATTTCATCAATAAGAATTTTAAATTTTTCAAGACTGTTTCACGGTTAAGCAAGCCACGAGTTTCTCGTCGAGCGCTTGTTCGTTCTTTTGATGATTGAGCAGGAAAACGGAGTCTTCCACCCATACCTGAGTCTCGCCCTGCTGATGATCCTCACTTCCTTTGTCGTCCTCACACACCAACTGCTTATACACCTTCATGGATGATGAGACGTTTTTCCCGGAAGTATTTACTGCCACCATCTGATCCACCTGATGACTGAACCCCGACATAGTCAAGCTAATGACTGAAAATAAGCGCTTAGTAGGAGGTAACCCACTGGTATGATTTCGTTTTTCTTTTATTTTTATTTTCGTTTTTCGTTTTTTTTTTTTTCTCTAACTTCGGGTTTGAATGCCACTGGGGACAATGTCGTTTTAGTCTGGAGGAGGCAGTTACTAACTACGTTTTTCTTTTTGATTCTTATTATTATTTTTCTTTTCTTTTGAGTCGTTTTATTGAGTCAAATTTTTTTTGGAAATTATGATCTTTTTCTCTAGATTATTGCCTGGTTAGTTTAATACTGCAGATTCAATTCAATCCGACTAATGGAAAATCCAGAGAGTTAATCGATAGACCAGAGGACATCCACGTTTCCAACACAATCCGCTTAAGCCTGAGCAAAGTTCATGCTCTTCACCTCGTCAATACGGTTAGTATTCTCAGAACTTGACTCCTCGTTCATACATGATAAATGAGATCAATGTGGAAAAAGAATGGTATTTCTCTTCCATAAAAAAAAAAAAAAGATTGAGATTATTTTCTTTCGGAGTAAAGAGATATGAAAATTTCCCGTGATCACATTATTTTACTTCAAGAGGAATGATCACACGAAGGTTGGAAGCGAGGTTAGGAATATTTCCGATGATACCATTATTCGCCTACACCTTTGTCAAAAGAAAATGTATTCGAAAAAGAATAAGTCTGGGGAAAGAAAGAATACCAAGAAAATATGTTGAAAAGGTTGATTTATCATGGTATAGTACGGAAATGAGTCTAGAAGGTTTTTGAATAGTGATTTTATTGATGAGATTTATGCGATGAGGGCTATAGGATATAGTTGTGGAATTTGGTTTGGAATTTGGAATGTTGAGAATGCTTGCGGAGAATTTGGAATTTGGAATTCGGGACGAGCAATGGCTTTCAAAATCAAACGATTAGGATATTTCTGGCCAACTATGATTTCTGACTGCATCGATTACGCCAAACGATGTAAAAAATGCCAGATGCACGCTCCTCTTATTCACCAGCCATCTGAATTTTTATCATCTATATCCGCTCCATACCCTTTCATGAGAAGGTCAATGGATATAGTTGGTGCGATGCATCGCTCAACGCGAGGCGTCCAATATTTATTAGTTCTAACGGACTATTTTTCCAAATGGATCGAAGCTGAAGCTTACGTAAATATACAAGATTTTGTGGTAAAGACATTCTTGTGGAAACACATTATTTGTCGCCATGGAGTTCCTTATGAAATTGTAACGGACAATGGTCCACAGTTCATTTCAAATGAATTTGAAGATTTTTGTTCCTCTTGGGGGATAAAACTTAGCTATTCAACGCCGAGGTATCCTCAAGGAAATGGGCAAGCGGAAGCTTCCAATAAAACCATTCTCAGCAATCTTAAGAAACGTTTGAATGCTCGAAAAGGTGGTTGGTATGACGAGCTGCAACCTGTGTTGTGGGCATATCGAACATCCCCGAGACGAGCAACGGGAGAAACTCCATTCTCATTAGTATATGGGATGGAAGCAGTAGTCCCAGCCAAGCTGAATGTTCCCGGTTTACGCCGGAGCGAAGCTCCACTTAACGAATAACTAAATTCTAAATTATTAGAAGATGTTCTCGATACAATTGATGAAAGGCGAGACCAATCCCTTATTCGGCGTCAGAACTATCAACAGTTGACCGCTCGGTACTATAACTCAAAGTTGAAAAACAGACCTTTAAATGTAGGAGACTTTGTTTTAAGGCGAGTGTTCGATAACACAAAAGAAGAAGGAGCTGGTAAACTCGATATTAACTGGGAAGGCCCTTATCAAATCACAGAAAAAATCCGAAATAGTGTATACCGTTTAAAAGACCTTGACGGAAATCCCGTTCAAGGGCCTTGGAACATCATCAACTTGAAAAAGTTCTATTGCTAAAACAAACATATCGAACTACGATTTGGCTTGATCCTATTTTGGGTACGTAGGCAGCTCGCTTAACACGAGTCCAGCTATAAAAATAAAAATATTATTCCAATTATGGAGTCTTGTTTTACTAAATTCGATATTCGAGCATAAATATAAAAATACGTTGCGAACAATTTATGAAGAAATATGTTTAGCTAAAGTAAAAACCAGATTTAGAAGGGTCTTGGATTACGGAATAGCTCTGCTCTTTGGCCTGCGAGGTCAACGATGTTCAGGATACAACCTGGCATGTTTCCGTACTCCTGCAGGCCTATCTCAATCCAATCAGAAGGATGCGCTTCGAGGCGATGAAGCTCGCGAGCAATATCGAGGCGACGCTTCTCTAGTTCCATTCTCTTTTTTCTAATCTCTTTTCTCTCATCTTCGAGCTCGTTGTGTCGAGCGATAAGCTAAAGAAAACAAAACGCTTCGTTTAGTAACAACGAAAGGAGTCAAATCACTAGGTAAAACAATACCTTGTCAATAAACTCCTCAGCCTTGATACGATCTTGAGCTGATAATCTCTCGATTAACACTTTCGGAACCTGAACGCTGGTTCCCCACCTTAACGTTCCGTTTTTACAAGCTCGATGTTTGACGTTTCCGGAAGATCATCGCTTATCTTTTTAGACGAGTCGGAGGGGTTCTCTGAAGAATTACCTTCCTCGAACATCTTTTGTAGAATTATTGTTGATTAAATTCAATAATGAGCTACACCTACTTTATATTCGAAATATACTCAATCACATTTAAGAGGGTCAATTGACGATTTCCCAAAATCTGAAATTACTATCTTTATGGAAAATGTAAGTGAGTTAATTGCTAATTATATTCCCTAAATTAAATGCATTAAATAAGATTTGAATAAATCGGAAAATTTAAAGCGAAAGGGAAAATATAAATAATGACGCTGGGCCGCTAGCCCAATAGCATTGTTACAAACAAAAGTAAAATAAGGGAATTGTTCGATCAAAAGTCTTCGTCCGATAACGATTCCAGCGAAGTGGATGATCCCGAGCAGCTTTCTGAGGATAACCTCTCGTCAGAAGATAAATCGAGGAGACCGGAAGAGTGATCAATTGATTTCGCCTCTGTTTCTTCGTTTCCTTCAGTTCTCAGCATTGGAAATCTCCGAAACTCTGAAGAACATGAAACAAAAGAGGATCCGTCGCCAGTTGCCAAGGATAGATGTGATAATTTGTCCAGCGCGCGGAGGAATCTTCGAATGCAAGAAGGAATGATAGCCACGATATTTAAACCCCTCCTCTCCCACTCATGCGGTTTAGATTCGAGGCAATGGATCTCTCTTTCTATCTTCCTTATCCGCTCGTTAAGAGCACGACGCCTCCTTCCGATTCTTTGTCTCTTATCGCATAAGGCTTTATATCTCCCGACGATCTGTTTGAGTAAACATTTTGTCAACTGTCTGAAAGAGAATATACAGTCTTCTGAAAGACTAAAAATTAGATAATGAACCTTTTCCAGGAAGTCATAACATTTGATCCTTTATTTCCCCGTTCGGAAATGAAAAAACGTAGGGTGAATGACTCCCTTTGGAGAGAATCCGTCTTCGGATTCAAACAATGGATCCCCGTTCGAAGTCGTTATTCTTGAGCTTGACCTGAAAGAAGATAGCGGCATATTTCAGTTTTGTTTCTTGCAGTAAACTGTGAGAATTTTCCAGAATCCTTTTAAGGGAGAAAGGTGTTTGGACTCTTTTCTAAAAAAAAAAAGAACATAACGGGCCTGCTAGAGCAGATTTCGAGTCCAATTAAAGCATGGCCCATTATCTCCAAAGCCATTTTCAGGCTATAATCGAAACCATTGCCTGGTCATTCTTATGGCAAGATTCTCATGAATTATAAAAATCATATCCCTCGATAAAAAAAAAAAAAATTTAAGCCGAGCTCTGTCCTCGCTTCCGAGAGACCGGGGAAAAATACTTGTTAAGATTTTTTCTTTAAAAAAGGCAAGTGAGCCTAATCAGCTCATCTCTCACAATTCATAAAACCTCTTTGGTGGGCTAGGACTTGCAAACCTAGAATCGCATCCAAACGTTTTACTTAAATAAAAAAAATCATATGCAAGAGCATGTATATGATTGTGCTCAGTCACACTAAATTGAACGAAACGTTTCCGTTAAACGGAGTGGTCCTCATGGATTCAACAAAACAATTTTTAAGAGCGTTCCTCTACCTCTGGAGAACCCTCACGTGGCCGAGAACCCTCACCTATCTCGAATTAAGAGGGGGAATCTCCAAATACCAAAGAAAATTGTTTC